AGGGCGCATGGGCTCTGTAGTTTGCGGCACGCGGGCTGTTTCGCTGTGGCGTGGGCTTAGTTGCTCCGTGGCATGTGGGATCTTAGTTCCCCAACCAGGGCTTGAACCTGCGTCCCCTGCGTTGGAAAGTGGATTCTTTACCGCTGGACCACCAGGGAAGCCCCTATAAGTTTACTTTTTACTCCTATAACAGTGTAAGGCAGATATACATGAGTGACAGGAAGGCTCTCCTCTGAGCAGTCAATCTGATGGCGGCCCTGGCATCTTCAGACGTGGCTTCCGAGACCTCCTTGGGGATTTTCTAACCTAGTCAACTGGGAGAAGAGAACGCGGACGTGTGACAGGGCTTTATGGGCCAAGCCAAGAAGTGGCACACATCATCTTCACTATAGTCCGTTGGTTAGAACTCGGTCACCTAGCTGCATTTAACAATACAAGCTGCAGAGTGTAGTCTAGCTGTGTGTCCAGGAAGGACAAAAACAAATTTTTGATAAACTGGTAGCAATCTACAACAAGACTCAAAAATTACTAACTGTAGAAAATTGATAAATTCAACTACACTATATTAGGAAAAGACAAACAAAATGGGAAGCACAGCCCAGGAAGATGAAAAGATGCTCAACTACATTAGTAATAAGAGAAAAGCACATTAAACCACAATTGGATATGATTTCACAAAAGATTATCAAATCTTTCAAAATCTGTCAGTATCAAGTACCGATAAAGATATAGAATAGTGGAAACTGTCATCTGCTGTTGCGTGTGTAAGTTGTTACAGTTATTAGGGAAAACAGTTCGCCATACTTTTTTTTTAGCCATGCCACATGGCATGGTGGGATCTTAGTTCCCCAACCAAGGATCGAACCTGTGCCCCCTGCATTGGAAGCGTGGAGTCTTAACCACTGGAATGCCAGGGAAGTCCCTGGCCATACTTCTTAAAGTTGAACATGTATATATCTTATTTCTAGGTTTTTTCACAGGGAACCAAGAGGCATGTTGACATGCTGCTTTATAAAAGCCCCAAACTGGAAACATCCTGAAAACCCATCAACAAAAGAATAGATTCATAAATTGTGCTGTATTCCTGCAGTGGGATACTTATTGTCAGTGAATGTGGTTGAACCACAGCTACACAGAAAGATGCATGATTCTCACAACACATGTGCAGTGAAAGAGTATGACTCCATGTATGTAAAGTTCTGAAAAAGCAGAACTAAGTAATACATCATCCAGACATGAATAGATAGGTGGTACGTCTACATAATACAAGGGAATGATTAACATAAAACTCAGAATATTTGTTAACCTTTGGTGAAGAGGGAGGGAGAGGAGATTGGACAGAATATAAGAGGCTTTTGTGATTCTGAAAATGATCTATTTCTTACCTAGTATGAGGATGCATGGGTGTTCTTTTCATTATCATTTACTGTCATATATCCTCAGATACTTTTGAATTATGATATTATTTCACAAGAAACATGGACAAGTTTACTGTAAAATATTGCTAACATACAGACAAGTATAGACAATAGAGACTGATTTTAAAGAACATTCACGTATGCACCAGATTAATCAATTCTTAACGTATTTGCTTCATATCTTTCTAAAACATATATATATATATATATATATATATATTTATTTATTTGGTTGCACTGGGTCTTAGTTGTGGCAGGCAGGCTCCTTAGTTGTGGCTCACGGGCTTCTTAGTTGCGGCTTGCCAGCTCCTTAGTTGCAGCACACGGGCTCCTTAGTTGTGGCATGTGAACTCTTAGTTGCGGCATGCATGTGGGATCTAGTTCCCTGACCAGGTATCGAACCCGTACCCCCTGCATTGGGAGTGCAGAGTCTTATCCACTGCACCACCAGGGAAATCCCTCATATCATTTTAAGAAATGAAATAATATGTAAAGACTCCCATTCCTTTCCCTCATCAGAAGGAATAACTATACTGAAATTGTGTCCTTCTTTTCCCCATTTTATACCACAAGATCTTGTATCCATAAACAATACATGTAGTGTTGCAGGATTTTAAATTTTATGCAGACATATTATATTCTGTCATGTTGGAACTTGATTTGCCATTTTAAGATTGATTTATGTTTCTGTACATAAATAGATCCAGTTTATTCAAACTGCTGTAAATTAGTTCCCGAGAGAGACTTGGAAGAGTGTTAAATTTGGTAAATGTGGGTAGATGGTGTAAAGGATTCTCTGTATTATTTTTGCAATTTGGAAATTATTTCAGAATAACAGTATCACTACTGAGTCATTTATATTGGCAATATGCACTTGGAAATGGAAGTGGGGGAAGTATCCATTTATGATAATGACACAAATAACTGACCATAAATTTACTGGAAAAAAATTTAAGAACTTACCTGAAAATGTATATTTTGACAGGAAGTCATGTATTACTATTTTATTCTAAAATGTAGAATTTCATGTAGTATTTTCCTTTATGCTTCCCCTCCTCATTTCTACCAGCTAAGAAATGTTGGCAGAAAGAGAAGCCACCTTGATAAAAGCTACAGTTGAGTGTGAACTTGGAATAAGATCTAGACCGACACAGGTGTTGTCAAAGGTGTGAGCTGCATACTAGTCATATGACCATGTTATGTGACATTTTAGTGAACTGTAATCCAAGTGTGTAAAAGGAGGAGAAAATGAAAGCACTGAACAATTTTTATATCTTATTTTTAGTCATTTGAATTTTAACACAGTCTGTTTTTTCATTTATAGTTTAGCATTATTAGCTAAAGAAGGAAATAACGTTTGTATTATTTATTTTTCACCTTGATTTAAATATGGTGTAAAAAGCTTCACTGGTCTTGTCAAAAAAAGGTGCACCTTTTCTAGTCCAGTGGAGTATTCTAGACTCTTCTGACCTTTGCAGTATGAGCTAATGATTCCCCTGTGTGGCCAGGCATGGAGGACAGCGGGTCCAGCCCATTAGCTAAATAGAAAAGCCAAAACTTGAGCGTTTCTTCTCCATTACCTTCCCTGGAGGGCTAGTTTGGAGCTCCTGCCCTACTGCTAAATATTGACAAACATGACCATACACTGACGATGACATCGCTGATCTGTGCTCCTGGCCTGGTGACCGTCTAGCCTCTGCGGAAGGCAGGAAGCCTGCCCTGCACGCCGGCACTCTTGAGCTGGGGACCCCTTTCTCCCAAGGCAAATTAGTTCAGCAAGGCTTCCAGACCAGCCCCACCCCTCCCCTCCTTTGTGTCCCAGGAATTCTACTGAAAAAAATATTTTCAGCAAATAAAACATTTTATAGGGGCCATTTATAAAGGGAAAGGAAGGCCATTTAATTTAGTTGTAGAGAAGGAAGTGGCACCAAATACAAGCTCCCTTGTCCCTCCATAAGAAGTCCTTAGGGTTTCTCCAGCAGTGCTGTCCAACAAGCCTGGGATGATGGGAGTGTTCTATAATTGTGCTGATCTTGAAATGTGGCTTTTGATTTGAGGAAGTTTTTTAACTTTTTAAAATTTTAATTTAAATAGGCTCATATGGCTAGTGGCTGCCATATTGAAGAGTGCAGCTCTTTTCTCCTCCTTGGGACAGATGTGGCTGAAGGTAGGCATTTCCATGTTACCTCTGGATCCTTAGCTGTACCCTCTCTCTTTCTGGAAAGCTGGAAGCATGTACATCATCTACACAACATAGATTCAGTGGTCTGAGCCAGACTGTGTACTCAAGCCTGGATCTGCTTTCACAGGTCCGCAACTCCAGAGGTGGTTGTGAGCAAGAATTCTCTCTCATTGGCTTATTTCCTCTTGTCAGAGGCCTCGACTTCTTAATTTTGTTCGGGGAAATAGAGTTTGGCAGCCTTTCCTTCCAGCCAGTTCCTGCCGCTTGGTACACAAGTACTGATACCGAACCCAGTATATAATCTAACACTTATTATTTTCCTGCTGCAAAGCTGAAGTTTCCTTTATTTTATGGGGTGCCACTTGCTTTCTTCTCATTCCCAATAGAACTTTGTTTTTATGTGCTGGGTAAGAAATCATGGAACTGGTAAGGACAAGAAAATAATAAAATCAAGGGATTTGATTAACATGAGAGGGTCTAACAGCAGCAGTTTACTCGTGAGGAGAAGAGGTGTTGAAATACTGGTAGGGGAGTTAGAAGGGACACAGAGAAGGGCAGGCAGCTAATAAAGCAGCTACCACGGAGAGTGAACGTGCGTCATCCCACGGAAAGACTCTGAAAACAGTGTGAAACACATGCTTCACAGATGTTCCACCCTAGGGGAGAGGGAGACCTGGTATTCGTCAAAATCCCATCAAGCGTGGTTGAGGGCTGCCCCCAGAGCAGTGGTCTTTCGTGGTTTTCGAAAAAGCCCGCAGCCCAAGAGACACAGATGGTGCAAGTCGGATGAAGCACACGGCAGGGGCAAGGCCGGGGGCAGCGGGGGCAGGGCAGTAACAGCATCTGCTCTGAACATTGACTTTGAACTCTCAGTAGAACCTAGTAGCACACTATTTTTAGTTTCTGGGTAAATTTCGGTAATTCTTAATATCTCAGTAGTACTAGTGGGTAGCCCTTACTTTATTTTTAAAACGTCTATATAATCTCAGGTGATTTTTCAGTATGAAACCAAGAAAGGCATTCTTAAATCGTTCATGATCCAGAAGATGGTCTCCAGCCTGGGGGACCACAGAATAAAACTTCTATGCCTTCCATCTGCCTTGACTTAACTCGGGGAAATGAAGGTAAAGGGGACCCAGGGAGACTGGACACAACAACCTATGACATTTCTATTAAGTAACTCTTTTTTTTTCTTTAAATTTAAATCCAGTTTTATTGTTTTGTTTTTTGGCTGTGCTGCAGAGCATGTGGGATCTTACTTCCCTGACCAGGGACCGAGCCCATGCCCCCTGTGTTGGAAGTGCAGAGTCCTAATCACTGGACTGCCAGGGAAGTCCTCTATTAAGTAATTCTTGACTGTAGCAAGAAGGTTAGCTACGAACAGAGGGTCCCCACAGAAAAACCATTTCAGTTCCTGTTTATTAATTTTCATAAAACAATTGAGTTACACATATTTGCAAGAGTGGTTAGGTTCTGGTCTTTAAATGGTAGCTTTTCTGGTTATTATCACATAGGTATCTGCTCTCTGTGAGTACCCTGATGCTTAATAAAGCTTGTGCGCCAACTGAAAGATTTTCCACATTTGTCACATCTGTAGGGTCTCTCTCCAGTATGAATGACCTCATGTCGATGAAGATTTGCCTTAAAACTAAAAGTTTTCCCACATTCGCTACATTCAAAGAATTCCTCCTTGGTATGGATTCTTTGATGCTGAATGAGATCTACATTCCGACCAAAGGATTCACCACATTCACTGCATTTATGAGTGTTCTGTTTATTGTGAATTTGTCGATGGCTCATAAGGGTTGAATGCCGGCCAAAGGCTTTTCCACATTCAATGCATTTATGGGGTTTCTCTCCACTGTGGATTAACTGATGTCGAATAAGGGTTGAATTCTGACTAAATGTTCTTTCACATTCACTACATTTATAGGGTTTTTCTTTGGTATGGATCCTCCTGTGTTCAACAAGATACGCCATCTGACGGAAACACTTTCCACAGTCATGACATTTATATGGCTTTTTTTGTGAGTGACACTGTTTGTGGACAATCAGAGCAGACTTCTGTTTGAAGGCCTGCCCACATATGTCGCACTCAAAGGGATCCTCTGAACTGTGAATTCTTTGATGTCGAACAAAATTTGCCTGACGCTGAAAGGCTCTTCCACATTCGCTGCATTCATAAGATTTTGCATTTGTAAGAATTTGCTTATGCCTCAAAAGCAGTGATCTCTGATGGAAGGGTTTTCCATACTCATATTTGCCCTGCTTTGTCCTTGCCTGAGCTTTCAGATCTTGAATGAGGTTAAGGTTTTGAAGGAAGTCCTTACAGCATTCATCACCAACAGTAGGGAGTGAAAGTCGGTAAATGTCCACAAATTCGTTACATTCAAGTAACTTTTCTAAGGGTTTCCTGGCCATTTTCTGCTTTACCAGTGACATCTTACATGACTCTAGATCTTCAGAAATGTTCTGCTTTGGAGTTAGGTCTTTCATCTTGAATCTGGCTTCAGGACCTAGCCAAAAAAAAAAAAAAGTATATAAATGACCTGACTGCCATAGAAGGAAAAAAAAGGAAAGAAGTCAGGAAGTTTGTGATACGAGACTCAAATGAGGCTAAGAAGTGCTCACCTAGTTAAACCATCATACTACAGAGGCCAGTATTCTGATTTCCTTCCATAGGACCCACAGCTTTCATATCAGAAAGAGCTCTTGACATCAGCTAACCAGCTAAAATGTGCACAAGAGTATATGTCAGAGAATGTGAGAATTGAATAAATCCATCACCATTAGTGGGATAACAACTTACTCTCAGTACCAGCAGTGTCACATAACTAGGAGAGAGGTAGCATTTTGTACTTTCTAGATAAGCATGTTTTTAATAATTCTGGGAGAAACAACTTCTTAAAAATGGAGAAAGTGTGTAAGATAGAATAGAAAAGGAAACAGAGAGAAATAAGTACAAAACCAATGGACTAGAGCAGTGCTTTTTCAACCAGGGATGGTGTTGCTGGAACCTAGTGGGTGGAGGCCAAGGATGCTGCTAAACATCCTACGAGGCCCAGGACAGCCCTCACCGCAAAGAATTAAACAGCCTAAAATGTCAACGGTGCTGAGGCTGTGAAACCGTGGAGGGAGGGATGTGAAAAAGGGTAGAAGCAGCAATCAGGACATAATACGTAGGAAAAACGAACATCAGTAAACACCGAGAGAATTTGGAAAACAAAATGAGAGCAAGGGAACAAGAGCAAGTATAGAGAAAGGGTAAGTGATGAGGGTAGAAAAAAGGAGTATCTAGGATGGCACGAGAGCTGTCAGAAAACACCAGACCGGCTGCTTCAGAGAAGCACTTGAACTGCAGTAGAAAGAGGATGAGCTTTGCAGACTTGATGTCAAATCCCAACTATCAACCTACTAGCCGTGTGACAGACATCGCAGTCCCTTAGTTTCTTCACCTGGGAATGGGGCTGATGACCACACCCACCACCTGCAGGGGGCAGAAGGCATAATGAGCAGGAGAGACACCAGACACCCGGCTCGGTATCGGCACAGGAGGGGCCTGGTGAATGGGGTCCCTCCCTCTGCGTGACCCCCACAGGGCCGGGTCTTCTCCTCACCCACCTGGGCAAGCACTACCGGAAGCCTTCCTAGTCCCAGCTCTTGGTAGATCCAGGATCCACGGCTCTTCCCACTGCTCCAGCTGACAGATCACCTCAGGTTTGGGAAACTGAACTCCTACTCGTGGGGAAGTAAATGGGATGTGCTGGTTAGTGAGCAGCAGATGTCCCAGAGCTCATTTTACCCCTTGGGGTCTAAGCGGTGGGGGGACAGCGACAAGCAGAGATCAGGACAGTAGTGAACAGGGCTGGTGAGGAGAGGACTTGGTGCAATCTTTATTGAAAGCCTGAACAATATTCACACTCTGGGATGTGGTAATTTCACTCTTAGAAATATAGCCTAAGGAAAATTAGGACAAAGGTTAATGAACCAGAGATGTTCAGCAGAGTTCTAACAAACAGTGCAAACTGGAAATAAACTAAATGTCAATAGGGGAATGGTTAAGGTGTAGCACATGAATACAACAAAGGCAAAAGTATTAGGCAGATACTGAAAATCCATGTATTCAAAGAATATTTCTTTTGGGCTTCCCTGGTGGCGCAGTGGTTAAGAATCTGCCTGCCAATGCAGGGGACACGGGTTCGAGCCCCGGTCTGGGAAGGTCCCACATGCCGCAGAGCAACTAAGCCCGTGAGCCACAACTACCAAGCCTATGCTCTAGAGCCCGCGAGCCACAACTACTGAAGCCCGCGCGCCTAGAGCCTATGCTCCACAACCAGAGAAGCCACTGCAATGAGGAGCCCACGCACCGCAAGAGTAGCCCCCGCTCGCCACAACTAAAGAAAGCCTGCGCGCAGCAACAAAGACCCAATACAGCCAAAATAAAGAAAGAAATAAAATACATTTAAAAAAAAAACTGAAAGAGGTTTCATATTAAAAAAAAAAAGAATATTTCTTTTTCCCCCCAGTGCATCTGATACATTTTTCAAAGAATGTTTCTTAAAATAGGAAAATGCTCCCTAGATATTTTAAAGCAGAATACAAAACTCATGTAAATTATGATCCAAATTTTGTTTTTAAAAACTACGTGTGTGTCTGTGCGTGTGTGTGTGTACAGATCTTCCTCTACTTACAAAAGGGTAACTTCCTGGTAAACCCAATCTAAACTGAAAATATGCTATGTCAGAAATGCATTTATTACACCTGACCTCCCGAACATCATAGCTTAGCCTCACCGACCTTAACCACGCAAAGAACACTTATATTATGCCACAGTTGGGCAAGATCATCTAACACAAAACCTACTTTATTATAAAGTGGTGAAAAGCTGTTGTAACTTACTGAATACTGTACTGAAAGTGAGAAACAGAATGGTTTCAAGTATACTGGCTGGCTGCCCTTGTGACGACATTATCACATAGCTGTGTGGGAGCTGCGGCTCTGAGCCCAGCGTCACCAGAGAGAACGGTCCTGCATATCGCTACCCGAGGAAAAGATAAAAATTCGAAGTGCGCTTTCCAATGAATGCGTATTGCTTTCACACCATTGTAAAGTTGAAAACATCTTAAGCTGAACCATCGTAAATAGGACTGTCTGTATACATACATAAAAGTAAACCAAAGTGTTAACAGGGTTAATGCTGGGCAGTGGGCATGTAGATGATTTTAATTTTCTGCTTTATGAGGGTTTTTAATAACAGGGAAAATGCTGATACTATAATGGTAAGTTTTAAAGGGATTACAGAATTATACATAGACTATGCTCAGCTAGCTTTTTTTTTTTTTTAAAAAACAGCACAGGAAAAAAAAAACAGGAAGGAAATATTCCGAAATATTAACAGTGTTAGCCCTGAATGTTTTCCCCTTCCGTTTATGCTTTCCTCTATCTTCCATATATTCAAGTATGCTCTTGGAATGCTTTTAGAACAAAAACAAACAGTAAAACATCCAGTGCTGGGTGGACAGTCTCACAAGAGGTGGGCAAGACTCTGTGCCAAGAGTGTCCGCATGGGAGCCAACACTCCCCAGAAAGAAAAAGTCATCCAGGAACCTCCCACCCTAGGGAGACTCTGCATCGGACTAACCCAAAGGCAGGCTCCTGGGAAGATGGAAGCTGTGAAGGTTCAGAAGTGAAGTCAGTGAAGAATCATTTCCTGGGCACCCAGTGATGTTGTAAACAAGAAGGGAAACCATTTTCAGACAGAAGGAAAAGACTCTTCAAGGGAGCAAGATGCTAGACTTGGAATCTGCAGCGGCCACAGTCGTCAGCGCCTAGGAGTCTTAACAGGTGTGGAGGATTCAGGTTGGGGTGGGGAATGGGCTAATCATCTCTGAACTCTAAAACAAAAGGGAACTATTAATTGTCCACAATCCCTCATTTGAAAACTTTGAGGCCAGATGTGTTTCGTGACTCAGAATTTTTCCAGATTTCAGAAAGATGCCTTGGTGGGTATATTTTCTCTTATGCACCACCCCCAACAGGGGTTGGAGCTGAAACCTTAAACACACTGATATTTCTGATGCCATATATATATATATATATATATATATATATATATATATATAAAGACCAAATGAGAAAAAGGATGATAAATAGCTTCCTGTACGATAAAAATCAGATTTAACCACCTGATGACTTAAGGTTGGGTCTTATAGCCAAATGAGTTATGAAAAAACGTCTGGTTTTCAGAGTTTTTTCTGCTTCTGGAATTGCAGATAAGAGACTGAGGAGATGTGCAGACACTCAAAGTGAAATGTTAAGCTGACTCATTACCCAAGGAGAGCACGTTTCTGTAGTTGTCCAGCATCACGTCTCTGTAGAGGTCCTTCTGAGCCCAGTCCAGTGTGTCCCACTCTTCCCTGGTGAAGTACAGAGCCACGTCCTCAAAGGACAGCAACCCCTGGAAACACAGCGACTGACTGCAGCTGCAATTCTTACAATAACTTTGTGAGCTACAGTATTATTATTACAGATGGTCAATATTTGAGGCTTCTCTGGCCGTTTGATCTCTGCTGCAGTCACTCTGCTCTGGTAGCACAGACACAGCACAGACAACACGAGAGCAAACGGGTGTGACTGTGACCCAATAGAACTACTCCTGGCTCCAGGTGAGTTTGCCGACCCTGCTCTGTACAACCCTACCTTCCACATCCTGTATTTCTTCTGCCCGGATCTCTCAGGAAAGAGATGGCTCATTCCCATGAGGTCACTGAGGACGGGGCAGCGTGCAGGCCATTCACACAGGGATGGACAGGCTAATGGGACACAGGGACGGACAGGCTAATGGGACACAGGGACGGACAGGCTAATGGGACACAGGGATGGACAGGCTAATGGGAACCAACCAGGCGAGCTGGAGCTCGCGGGGCTGGCTGTCCTGGGCACCGCTACCCACTAGGTGTGAAGGGGAAGGACGGGAGGGGACACTGGGATCCAGAAAGTTGTTGGAGAAGCAAGACCGGAGCGGGGGGCAGCCCAGCAGGGAGGGACTGAGGGATAAACCCCCAACAGCGATCCCCTCCAGGCCTCTGGTCCCCACCCCATCCCTCTGCCAGAAGCCAACCTGAAGCAAGAGCAAGGGAGCCCGTGGATGGAGAATATAAAGGCCAGCCTCCCAGGGCGCAGACAAAGTGGGGAACGGTGGAGAGTGTCTCCACGGGCCAAACACAGACCGCTGAGCACCGCGCCCACAGCAGAAGTTTCCATCTGCAACTGTGTATCCAGCTCCCGGGGGCCGAGAGGCCTGGCGTCTGCCCCCCACACTCGCCGTGGTTCAGGGGGTGTTCCTGCGGAAGGGCTTCAGCAATAGGAACACCAGCCCCACCCGAGATGCTTCACGCTGCTCCCCTCTGCAGACAGACCCTGAGTCTCGCAAACGACAGGCCTGTCTTTCCTCCTGCCCACACCTGGCCCAGGGTTAGGGTCTCAAGCCCCCTCCCCTGATCCCGAATATCCTCCGTCCCCAGAGCTGCCTGCAGAGGCCCTCACCTGCCCCACCCACCAGCCGCCTTCTCTGCACCTGCGTGGAGGCTCCCAGGCGCTGGGATACAACGGTTCAAAGCCCCAGAGTTATCTGTGTGCGTGGGGTTTCCTAGCTGGGCCCTTCGTGTGGCTCCACAGTTCTTGCCCTCAAGGTCCTCACCAGGGGTCTTCTTCCCCTTTATCACTCCCGCTCCTTCAGGAAGCATTTACTGAGCACCAGGAAGTCGCCGGCCTGCGTGCCACACGCCAGTGACAGTAAACGCACAGAGGTGACAGCTCCTGCCGGGCCCACAGGACCAGCCCCTCGGGCTGCGCACTGCTCGACTCTAGGGGACACTGTTCACATGGCAGCTGTGCCAACGGGGCCCCCACAGCTGCTAAGTGCACAGCCTGTGCGACCCACGGAGCCCCAGCCCCGCTTCAGGGAGTGAAGGGTCCAGTGGGGGAGCGGCAGAAGTCAACACGGTGACGATCCAGGGGTCCACGGGGGGCGACGGGGGCTGTGAGGACAGGGCTCGCCCCACCCCCTCCTCTCAGGAGGCACTGCCAGTCACTTCCCAGAAAGCAGCCCCCGGGGCACACGGCCCTCACCTCCTCCCGCCTCCCCACCGGCTCCCAGACATCCCCTGCATCGGGCCTCACCACCCCCCACTTCTCCCTCCTGGTGACGCCTCCTCCTCGGGCCGATTCCATTCTCTCCTGTCTCCTCCAGGGTCTTAATCCAATGACCACGACTCTCCTGTGTGTGCCCTTTTCCCCTTTGTGATACTGTGATTTAAATAAGGAATATATATTTGGTCTTCCTCCCTACTTCTGGCACAGAGTTCCTAAAAACCCTTGGATTTTCCTAAGGGATAAGAACAGAGGAGCATCTTTTAATATTTGGGCTTTTGTCCTCGGTTTCTGAAATAGCTCCAGGGCCATACAGGTGAGAGGAACGTCGTGTTGCTCATAACAAATCCCTCAACCACACCTGAGTTCATGTTAATGCGGAAAACTCCTAAGGATGGGGCTGGATGTCAGGGGAACAAGCATGTGATGAGAGGGTTAGAACCTTCAGCCCTAGCACCTGAGGGGCGGGGAGAGGCTGGGGTTCAGTCAGTCACCAAAGGTCAGTGACTCGACCCATCACGCCTACGTAATGAACCCCCATAAAAGCGCAGAAACAGGTGCTGGGGGGTGTCTGCCTGGAAAGGAAAGCCCTGCACCCCTCCCCCACTCCCCCTGCCCTGTGCCTCTCTTCCATTGGGCTGATCCTGCATTGTAGCGTTTTACATGAACCAGGATCTGCTCAGTAAACCGTTTTCAGAGTTCCGTGAGCCACTCTACCAGATCAATGGCACCCGCGGAGTGGGTCGTGGGAACCCCAATTTAGAGCCGGTGGGTCAGAAGCACAGGTGACAGCCCGCAATTGTGATTGGCGTCTGAGTTCGGGGCGGGGGGCGGTCTTGTGGGGACTGAGCCCTTACCCTGTGGGTCCGATGCTAACTCCAGGGTGACAGTGTCAGAATGAGTTAAATGGCGGGCACCCAGCTGGTGTCAGAACGGTCAGAAGTGAGGCGTCATGAAGCAGAGCAACACAGCCGCGTTCCTTCCCAGACTATCACTCCTGCCCGTAGCCCGCAGGATGCTGCCGCCTCTCCTGCCTTTACAAAGATGCTCCTGGCGCCTTGCTCCCTCTCGCTTCCGCCCTCTCTCCTTCCCTTACTGGGCCTTTTCTGTAAAGAAAACCCTACACACTCACCTCCAGTCACCCCACACCCACCCAGTGGCTCTTCTGCAGCTGTCCTCCTGGAGCCCAGCCCTCTGCCCACGTGGGAACACAAGGGAGAGTCATGGGGTTAATGCAGGACCTCAGAGAGATTTCACAGAGAGGATTTTTGAGCTGAGTCTCAGCATATGCAGAGGTGGGTTGCCTGTGGACAGGGAGAACAGGATGCACACAGGCCGGGGGACAGAAGGGAGTCCACATCTCTGCGGGCGGGTCCTCTGGCCGTCAGGGAAGGCGGGAGATGCCACCAGAAGGGCAGACAGAGCTCTGTGATCCCTCAGCAAATGCGGACACGCTGGGCCAACGGGTCAAAGCGCTGCCCCTCCAACTCCCTCTTGCCTCCCTCCCGTCCAAGACTGTTCTTTCCAAATGGTCGCAAGGGTTCCTCACGTGTCTCCTCACTTTTCTACTCAGCCTCTCACAATCACCCTCCATCATGTTACGAGTTCAGTAACTAAGCTTCCAGTGTACCCTTTGACGCCAACAGATCAGAATTTATCCTGTGTTGTGGGAGTTTGTTTCCACAGCTCCGTCTCCAAATGGCTTGTAAGCGCCTTAGGCGAGAGCTTCTCTCCCAGCACAAAGGCAGTACTATCTGGTATACAGTAGGTACACAATAATGCTCACTGACAGAAACAAGGAGCAACTGTGGTGACAACAGCTAAAACTTACAGAGCGCTCCACGTGTCACTAGATACCCTGCCGATACGCCACGTGCCCCATTTCATTGAATCCTTGCAACTCTTTGACAGCTACTATCATTATCCCATTTTTCAGATAAGGAAACTGTGAGAGATCAGGTAACACATCTAAAACAGAGCCTGGATTTGAACCCGTCTGGCCCCAAAGTTCAAGCTCTTTACATCCTACCTTCCAAGAAGGAAAAACCCCCAGCTGATAAAGATGGCTCCACCTGAACAGAGGAGTTAAAGCCACGTGAACGCCATCGCCCGGCGGTGAGACTCCACCAAGGTAGGGGAGGAGGAACCCTGCTCACCTTCCACAGGGCTGGCAGGAACACGGCTTCCATGGCCTGGCCTCTGAGGTGGTGCAACCTCCCGGCCATCAGGCTGAGCTGAAGGAGAGGAAAAGAGCACACGTAAGGCCAGCTCCGATTTGAAGCTCTCTCACCAGGCAGCCCTGGACAGGGAGTTTCAATGGGGCCAATGAACCTCAGCTAGCACAAAGTCACTGTGTTTGGTGTTGGAATATGTGATAAAATGAAAGCAACTGCTAGAATAGTCTTGTTAGGAATTTCTGAAGCTAAATCAATTTCCAATCTTTATCCAAGGAAACCTGTGGCTCTGCCCTCACCTCCTCCCTAGAGTATATTTAGCAGCACCTCGTTGAGAGACTCAATACGCCAAGGGACCAGACTGTAGGAAAAAACAGAACTCTGACCTGCAACCTGCAGCAACCCGCCTGGAACCCAAACCACAAGCAATGCAGCAATAGGCCCTACATCAGGACTTGGTCTACAAGTGCCAGCTTATCTCTAATATGTACCCCTGTCCTCCATCTAGGGCCGACAGGAAAAGCCGAATATGCTCCCATACCCAATCATGTAGGATGTTCCACTTCTTTTATTTAACCTGCCTCCAGTTTTTCCAAGCCAATCAGCTCCAAACTCAGCATATTTGAGTCTTCCCTCTTTTCCACTATAAAACTTACCCTTTTTGCCTTTGAGCCTCTGCCACACACACGTGATGGTGGCCAACTCCCTTGGCCATGAAGGGAATGAAGAGCCTTTGCTTGTTCTCTTTTGGGTGGTCTTCATGTATTTCTACATCACACAGAATCAGCTCAGATAGTGTAAAAATGATTTTAGGGCAGTTAGAGATTTTAGGCTACATATGATATACAAAGAGTTAATTGTGGTCAAAAGAAAATTCAGAAGACTTTACTTGATATGAACATTTTAGGGAGCAAAACCCAAACTGTGAACAAGGAGACTTCAAAACTGAAAGTCTTGGGCTCTCAGCAGTTACCGCTCAGTTTATAAAGCCTGTGAAGGGGTGGCAGAATAAGCCACCCCCAAATATACCACTTTGGAATACTGAGCTGTGGGACTTAAAAAACGGCTGTTTAAAAAAGAAGCGACAGTGGAACTTCCTGGCAGTCCAGTGGTTAGGACTCGGGGCTTTCAATGCCGGGGCCCGGGTTCCAACCCTAGTTGGGGAACTAGGATCCTGAAAGCTATGTGGACTCACTCATGCTAAGCCCCATGTCAGCAAACCAACACTTAATACTTAACCTAACTGCCATTTCAGCCTCTTCCAGGAGTAGAACCTCCCTCCGCTTTCCCTATGAAGATAGTATTTAGGCCTGAATTCTACGCCATCTCAGGGGTTAGTCATTTTTCCTTGGGTATCTCCCATGTTTACATGAGGTATACATGTTAAGAAACTTGTTTATTTTCATCTTTTATTGCGGGGGTCTCAACTAAGTACTCAGAAGGGTAGAGAGAAAATTATTTTCCTCCCATACACATGAATGAGGAAGTACATTGTTTTCTATTGGGACTGGTTACTAGAAACTGACATTCCTTTTAGAAGAGTAGCACCGAACAAGTTTACTTGTTTGTAGCTGATTGGCTAGGAAGCTGCAAGGTCACCCTGATATGAAGAAAGCTTGTTTCCGTTAAGGACAGAGCCAGCATTTGGGGGAAACTAGGACAGCTTTTAAGTTTTGGTTCCGCAGCTATGGGTGGTTGGCCAGGGGACATACCCAAACTGTGGCCTCCGCTTTGCTTCTTTTTCAATATAGTAAATTCGGTGTTGTTTCTCTCAGGGAATACACAAATGATGGGATACCGAGGATCTTCATTTTTTAATTGTGCTTCTCTGGCTACCGGCGAACCTTGCTTTATGTAAGTACATCTTTAAGAAAGTCCCTCACACACCGTTCACGTTCCCTAAAAACACTGCTCCTAAGCGCTCCTGCCTCTTAAGCAAGAAGGCACCCCCCAGACGGTCCTGATCAGGGGAAGGGACCTCAACCCTTTCATTATCTAAACTAGATTATTTTCTGTGCGCATTGTGCATTTGGAAGTCAGAACCCATAATCCAATTTGTTAATCTATAACAATACAGTGCCCTGAAGATCGGGGTGGGATTGGGGGGGAGGATACGGGGGGGGGGGTCTCTCCAGCCCTCACACCTTCTATGGCGGGGCCACCAAGGCTTCCCCGCGGCACCCAATCCTCCCATCACACTAGCTCCTTTCTCCCCAAACCTCGCGGCCTCCGACTCCAGCCGCGTCGCCTCCTCCAGGAAGTCCTCAGGATGCACCTGCGGCTGCCATGGGGGCTGCGATCCCCTCTCGAGGTGCTGGGCTGGACCCGGAATCAGGTCCAAGCCTCTCAGCTAAACCGCACCTGAGGGCGCGACGCGGAAGGTCCCTGTGCCTGTCAGCCGGATCACTGGCGCACGCCAAGCAGAGCGTCCCCCCCCCCGAGTACCTTCTAGGAACGACGGAGGCTTCGCAACTCTCTGATAGGGGGTAACGGGTGGGGCGGGGGTGGGGGGAGTGTGCGAGTAAGGGGGCGGGGCACTCATGTCTCGCAACCTCCGCTCCTGGCCGGAGCCAATCAACTGCCGCAGAGGGCGTTGACTAGGCCACGTGACTTCCAGGCCCCGCCCCAGCCCGTTCCAGCCTACCCTGGAGGTCTGGCGGCTAGGGGCTTTAAAAATGCTAATACGAAGTCCTTCCCCTTCGCACCGATTGTAGCAAAATCTCTAGGAGTGAGCCCTCGTGCAGTTGGGTATTTTTAAAAGCTCCTCCTGGTAGTCTAATGTAGAGTGACCAACTTTTTAGAGAGCCGACCCTGGATACAGCCCTACCAGGCAAAAAAAATATGTTAGTATAATGAATTATAATACACATATATGTTATTAAGATAAAAACATAAAAATAGATACTTATCTGAAATTATGTTATTCAGAATTGTTTACTTTTCTGTGACATGAATGCTGTTATTTAAAGCAACAGAGGACTTAGTGACAATTAATTGTAATTGATAGTAGGACTAATTCATCTTTTATATGGTTCCATATGTTTAGTAAAGAAGTAAGAGAGACTGCAGATTAAAAAAAAAAAAAGCCCTCTGAGGTATTGTGTGAAATCTCCGTTTAAGTCCTTATTTCCACGGGATATACATATATATATATCTCCAGTATCATACTAGTTGTTTGACCTAGGACAAATTACTTAGCTCCTCTGTACCTTATTTTCCATAGATGTAAAATGAGGATACCAGTACTATGAATTTCATAGAGTTATGAGTATTAAATGAGTTAATATGTGTGAAGTGCTTAAAACAATGCCTGGCACAGTAAATGTTCCTCAAGTATTAGAGTGAAAACCTTCAGTTTTCCAAACATCTTTAGATGAATACAGACATTCATTGACTCAGTGTTGTAGCAGTTTGAACTTCCATAGGAGAATTAAAAAAATCAGGAAATACAATGAAATTTATTAATTCGATTAATGTTTATTGAGTGCCTAGAATGTGCCAGGCACTGTTAGATTTTAAATATTACACATTTAAATGTTACTCAAAGCACTTAAGGCTTGGTCCAGGCAAAAAGCTGCTGAACTCAGACAGAAAAATGCTCACACAGTTGAGCTTTTGACAATCATGCTGTGCTAAGTTGACGACATTGGAGACCTGGGGGCCTCAAACTCAGGGATAGTTTCCCTATCAAAATATTTACTGATATCTGAAGCTACATGGAATAGAAGGCTAAAGAGCTATACTAGAACATTGGACAAGGAAGAGAGGAATTTTCCAGTCTCCCAGTGTTTATGAGATAAAGACCACTATGGAGAGGAGATCAATAATTGTAAGTCTTATAAGCAATAGTTCCTGTTGCTACTCTTTAAGCTTGCTGATCCTTTCAGATATTGGTGCTTTTTTAAATCTCTACAAGCTCCATTTATTTCTTTTTATTATGTTGTATTTTTCTGTTCATTACGTTTATGCTTTATTTTAAATCCTTGAGCAGCATATCCATAATAATTATTTTAAGGTCCTTGTCTCCAAACCCCATAATTTCTGTTCTTTCTGAATCTGTTTCTACTGACTGATTATTTTCCTGGTTTTGGATTACATTTTCCTGCTTCTTTACATATCTATTAATTTTTGATTGGATGCTAGACATTATGAAGTTTACATTGCATGTTAGAGTTTGTTGTCTCCCTTTAAAAATCATTAGAACCATACAGTCCAGAAGTTCCACCTCTGGGTAAGTTCCACAAAGAATTGAAAGCAGCAACTCCAACAGATATTTGTACACCCATGTTCATCGTAGCATTATTCACAGTAAACCAAATGTGAAAACAAGTGACCTGGACAGATGAATAGATAAACAAATGGTAGTCTACATACAATGGAATATTGTTCAGCACTAAATAGGAAGGAAATTCTGACAAATGCTATAACGTGGATGAACCTTGAGGATGTTATGCTAAATGAAATAGGCCAGACATAAAAGGACAAATATTGTATGATTCCACCTATATGAGGTACCTAGAATAGTCAAATTCATAGAGACAGAAAGTGGAAAGGTGGTTGCCAGGGACTGAGTGGAGGGGGAAGTGGAGAGCTGGTGTTTAATGGGTGCAGAGATTCAGTTTGTGAAGATGAAGAAAGTTCTGGAGATGGACTGTGTTGGTGGTTGCACAACAATGTGAACACTCTTAATGCCACTGAACTGTACACTTAAAAATTATTAAAAAGGTAAATTTCATTTTTTTTTGCTGTACGCGGTTCTCTCACTGCTGTGGCCTCTCCCGTTGCGGAGCACAGGCTCCGGATGCGCAGACTCAGCGGCCATGGCTCACGGGCCCAGCCGCTCCACGGCATGTGGGATCTTCCCGGACCGGGGCACGAACCCGTGTCTCCTGCATCGGCAGGCGGACTCTCAACCACTGCGCCATCAGGGAAGCCCGGTAAATTTCATTTTACATGTATTTTACCATA